AGACACTCCAGAGAGACGTTCGGACGAGTCTATGAGCGCACAAACAGCTCCAGCATGTTTGAGGGGATTATCCCTTTAAAAGCAGCAGTTCCAGGTAACGGCAGGAGGGACACACCTGTGATGATGCTGTTAATAACGGCTGCCAAAGCTATTCCATGTGACGTGCATTAACTCAGCTGCAGGATCCTAATTATCCCCCTGGGAGCGAGCTTTGGACTCCTCCATCTGATTGAATCCACGTTTAATCACGGCTCTCTGAGCCAATCGGGCATGTCTGCTCGTCCCCTTAGTCCAACAGAAACAAAATTATTTCAACATGACGACATTAACAGAGCAGGAAGTACCCAACACGTGCAGACCCAAAGGTCAAAGGTCACCACAACACCACCAAAGATGTGTTAACCTGTGCCTTACCTCATCCTAGTGGAAGCTCTGAATTCATTTTATTTTTCTGGTTTCATTTTTTTTCCCTGCAGCTGCATGAGGCTCTCTGATGTTCTATCAAATTTACCAAACAACCACTAACACAAATACATAATCATCTCCTTCTCTGACTAAAAGCACAGTAATCAAACTGCTGTTTGTAGTCAGGAGGACACAGGAGTCAGAAACTATCACAAAGCTGCAAAAACGTCTGTGATTCGGAGTGAAAACACTTTAAAACATTCAGAAACTAAGTTGTTTCATGACCAAAAGGAAAATTAAGGGAGAAAGAGAGAAAATACCGGATTGGAAAAGAACCAAAACACGATCAGAACTTATCTAGATCAGATGATTGTTTCAGTGTTTTTGTTTCTCGAAGAGCAGCTGATAATCCTGGGAACATGATCGGGACTATCCCGAGAACCTCAGATAAAAGACGTCAACGTGTGGAGTAAAGTTCTAATGAATGTTCTAATGTAAAGTCCAGATGTTCATCAGAAACAGATTTGGTCTGAGATCTGAAGAATACAACAGTCTGGAACAGATAAACAGCAAACAAACACATTTTATATTTACTTTCAAATCAGTGTTTAACGTTCAGAAGAATTTTGAGAAAATGTTTTTAACATTTTGTTTCTTTTTTTAAAAATGAAATAAAATATTTGGTGTTCTCGGTTGTTCTGCTGGATTAATGTTGGTTTAAATGTTTTATATAATTTAGAAATGAAATCCAGATTTTAAAAAGTTGTTTTGAATTGTAATTTCTAGCTTTTCCTCAGATGTTCCAGATTCTAAACATAAAACTGAACATTTTATATAAATATAGCTAAACTCCTGCAGTCCAAATGATGCTGAGTTATTAATCGTTTATTTCAGACTGACACTTTGGGATGAAAACATCAATCAGCAGAAAACATTCAGGACGAGGGTCAAGTTACCTTCGCAGGTGCATCCCGAGTTCTGGCTCCTCTCAACATGAAGAAGGATCCTAAACATAAAATCATTTATAGTCAAATATCCAATTTTTGTGTTGATTCTGTTAAACATCAGTGGTGTTTCTATATTTTTTTCCATAATCTGAATTTATTTAATATTCTAAAAGATTAAATCTAATCAGATTTAAAGTGAGAATCATATTTATTCAAGTTCATCGACACAAAACTGAAAGGATTTAAATGTTAAGAGTTTAAACACTAAACATACTCACGATTTTTTTCTCTTGTTATAATTATTCTGTTTATTGTTTTCATTCTAACAACACTTTTATTTTATTTATTTAAAATCCATACGCTCTTTTTATGTTATTTCCTCCTTATAATTGGTGTAAAATTAGAAGGATTTCTTACCTAAATAAATCAATTGTTTTAGTTAAATAACTTATTGGTACTTTTCTTCTGTTTCATTAAACATTTTTTGACATTTATTTTGTTCAATGGATTAATGTAAGTTGTTTCACTAATATTTAATGCTCATAGTGTTTACATCTATTTTAGATAAACAGATTTAATCATCGCAGTGTTTGACTTTTACCTGTATTAGATATAACTGTGTGTGTGTGTGTGTGTGTGTGTGCGCGCGCGCGTGTGTGTGTGCGTGTGTGTGTGTGTGTGTGTGTGTGTGCGTGCGTGTGTGTGTGTGTGTGTGCGTGTGTGTGCGTGTGTGTGTGTGTGTGTGTGTGTGTGTGTGTGTGTCTATTATAAAAGTAGAGTTTTTCACCAGTAGTTCATCAGTGACCTTAACTAAATTAAACGCCCTTCAGCATAACTGTGTGGGGTTTAAATGCAGGTACACAGCGCCACTTGCTGGTTGAGACAACCCGTGAAAGTCTGATTTGACAGAAAAACTGATTTGAACTGAAAAAGAAAATGAGTGTTTTGGGGGTAGATCCGTTTAAACCTCTGTTCTGTTTCTTCTTTAAAATATTCATTCATCCATGTCTATGCCTGCTTGCCCATAAAGGGTCGTGAGGCAACAAGCATTGTCTTCATAAATCTAATTTTCTTTTTCAAATAAGTTTCACATTCTTCAGCGTTCATTTTGTTGACTACCTCAGGTACAATCACCCTCTTCTAGTCTTCGGGCAAACAGGACAGGTTGCCAGTCTAATGCATGGCACCGCCAGGACATACAGGACAAACAACCATGCATACCCTCACTCACACACACAAACACACACACATTTAAGGAAAATTTAGAAGAAGATGATCTTTTATATAGTACCTCTCAAGATAAAAATCATGAGGCGCTTCACAAAAACGATTTACAAGGAGAAATATATATATAAAACAGGAAAGGGAGAAAGAAAATAAATAAGAAAGAAGGAAATCAGTGGATCCCAGGAAAGGCGGAACAAGAGCAGAATAAAGAGAGGGTGATGATGAAGGTCACACTAAAGCCAGCCTGAACAAGTGAGTCTTCAGCTGCTTTTTAAAGAAGATCACTGAGTCCACTGATCTCAGGCTCAGGGGGAGAGAGTTCCAGAGTCTGGGGGCCACAGCAGCAAATGATCTGTCACCATTGCTCTTTAGCCTGGTACTGCACAACCAGTAGGCTTTGGTCATATTTATGGATTGTGGAAGGAAGCCAGGGAACCTGGAAAGAACCCATGTGTGCACAGGGAGAACATGCAGACTTCATGCAGAAAGACGAAGGACACGAGGCTGGGATTTGAGCCTGGAGCCATCTTGCTGCAAGGCAACAGCACTACTGTGCAGCCCTCTTTAAAAATGTACCTGTTAAAATGTTTGCACTATTTTGTTAAAAGTTAAACGTAAATCAATAATTTTCTACTCATTTCACAGTCTGTGTAGGGTTATTATCACTACAAAAACAGAAGCAAAGCCGACTTATTCAGAGTTGTTTTATTTTTTTGGTGGGGGTGTTTTTGCAGATAGAAAACATGTGAGAATAGGAACAGAAAGAATGCATGAAGTTATAATTTATCATCTGATGTTTCATGAAACAGAAGAATCATTAAATCAGTAATTGTGTTATATGTTAATATTGTTTATTTCTTTTTATAAGAAATAACATGTATCCATCCATTGTCTGAACCCGCTTGTCCACGTAGGGTCGCGGAGGGGCTGGTGCCTATCTCCAGCGGTCAATGGGCCGGGGTACACCCTGGACATAGTGCCAGTTCATCGCAGGGCAACACAAAGACACACAGGACAAACAATCACACACACACACACACACACACACACACACACACACACACACACACACACACACACACACACACACACACACACACACACACACACACACACACACACACACCTAAGGACCATTTACACCAATCAACCTAACAGTCATGTTTTTGGACTGTGGGAGAAAGCCGGAGTACCCGGATAGAACCCGCGCATGCACAGGGAGAACATGCAAACTCCATGCAGAAAGACCCCAGGCCGGGAATCGAATAGGACCTTCTTGCTGCAATGCAACAGCTCTAACCCTCTTCTTTCTCCAGTCAGCTCAGAAATCTGTGATTTTGAATCAGCAATTTCAATATCCCGCTCTCGTATACGCCCCTCCTGCTTTCTAAAAGATCACTCTTCAGAGCATTTTTCTCATCCTCCAAAACAGCAAACTGGTTTTCTGTTCTCTGGTTTTCCAGGCGAGACGCAACCCGATGGGCGCAACTCAACTCGAACACTGCCACTCTTCGAGAGAGAGCAGATTAGTCGTCAGTGTAATGCTCAGAAGCACTACCGCCATCTGCTGGTTCGGAGAAGGTGGGAGAAAAAAAGAAGAACGTTAGCGTCATCTTCTGGATTTTCACCTTCACTGCAGTCTGTCACTGCGCAAACAAATTAATTTCGCACATGGCTGTGCACACCTCAGTTGAACAAAACGATTCAAACACTTCCTACTACAAGATCATGATCGAAAAGGATTAGGAAGAAGATAGATCTTATAATACCTGCACCATTCTCGAGCATAAAAGACATAATAGTCTGTCAGTCAGTTACCATAACAAATAATAATCAACATTAATTGTATATTTCAACCGTTTTCAATCTCCATAATGTCCATTATTCAGCAAGTTCAAACATTTGTATTCTGTTTTTGTTCTACCCTCTTCAACTGAAAAACACATTTACACACATCTTCAACTCATTCTGTAATTAATTCAACAATTTAACGCCACATACTGAAATACATACACCTTTCTTATAAAGTAGTCTTTGCAAAATTATGTTTAAAATTAAATTTTCTTCTAGTCTCCGGATCCTCAGAACTAAAAACAAACAACTTCTGCAAACTCATCGATAATACTTGACTTTTTGCCTTGTACATAACTAATAATGTGCTTAACTCAACTAAAACTTTAAGTTTCATAATACGTGATCTGATAAATAAACTATTGTAATATCTTGGATTTGCTTTACGTATAATTCGTACAGTTCTTTTCTGTACGACAAAGGCTTTATGTGTTATCAGTGAAAACAAACTGTAACAACTTTGACACACTGTGACAATATCATTAAAGCAGCATGAATTGTTTTCATTCTGTCGCAGTGTCCACTCCTTACCGCTAGGTGGGGGTGACGCGCTGTAGCGTTATTTGCAAACATCCGATTAACAGAAGAAAGCCGAAGCTACAGAAGCAAAAGCCAAAACTAACTAACTCGTTATTATCGTCCTGACGTGTAATAATCTGAAGTATTTCCTTTATTAAAAGCAGCTCTACGTGGATATCATTGAGCGCTAGCTGCTCACTTGCTGGGTGTTGTACCTGAACGTGTTCACCGTTTAGTTGAGGTGAGTCTTCCGGTAGAAGCGAACGCTATTAGCAGCGTCGACAGTTTTCTCTAAACGCAGAAAATCTCAAGATCTGTTTTCATCCTCGTTACTGATCAAAGTTTATAGTTAAGAAAAAACACAAACACGTCTGTTTGAGATGCGTTGAGCCTATTTATGAGCCAGCTGTTTTATTTTATTGAATCGCTTCATTTCAGACAGAAGCCTAGATATTTCATGTTTCATCTCATCAGTTTCATTTCATCTGTTAGCAGGATCGGACACATCCATTAAACCAGGTCCAGCTGGCGATGGTGTCAGTCTGATGATGACGTTTCAGGTCTAAATCTTATTGCAGGGTGCCCAACAGATCTGGGTCAGTCTGGGCACAATGTTGGTTTCTTCCTCCTCCAGTCTTTGCTTGTGGGGACCAGTCCAGAACTTGCCCCCCTTGTTCCTCTCTTTGTAATGTGGGTAGCTGGTCCAGGGCCTATACAGTGGACATTCCTGGAACAGAAGTGGCCTTGAAGGCAACAGATGTTTCTCTGCTGGACTTGTCTGCATTAATGCCGCCCTGATCCAAACCCATACCACCTGGTTTTTGGTACTGGTGCTGATGGGAGGCAGCTTTTCTTCAGCCCGGAGCAAATGGTGTCCGTTCTTCCAGCAAACATAAGACATTGATCTCTGATCCATGATTCTCCTGTGGTTCTTGTCCATCCCTGGTGGAACCCAGAAGTTGATGCCACCTCTGGACTGGGTCAAAATCTGGCTTCTGGTCTGCTCGGTAAAGTATTGAGAGCATCTGTTGAACCTGAGGAAGGTTTCTCACAGTAATATGTAGTTTATGGGTCTGTTGATAAAGGATGGCTCTGGATGCAGTGCCGTCTGAAGGGTCGGAGGTCACGGTGGTCTAAATTATTCCTGCTGCTTGAAATCCGATTCATTCTGTCTTTGAAAAAATTCGGTTGAACATCAAATATCTTGGCTTCATTCTGTTTAAGGTTCTGTTTAGTGGTTTTGGGTTTTATTAAGGAGTCCAATTCCTGGTGCATCAGTGACGCATTTTTGCTAACTCCTTTGTCATTTTCATTCCCAGAAGCACTTTCACTTTTGTCTTTTTGTTTTTATAATGATGTCACATTGGATTAATTTAAGTTAGCCTGTGTGGACAAGTAGAATGCAGATCAGAATCAGAAGTTTTTATTGCCATATATGTGCCAAGTCACAACATTAGGAAATTGCTGCAGTATTTTGGTGCAGAAGGTAAGAAAGAAAAAAATTTAATTAAGAGATAAGCAATATAAGAACTAATAAAACACTCATGATAAAATTATTAATGTAAAAATTGGCAGGAATTAGAGAAGCAGCTATCTACCCCGTGTAGGTACTAATCTGAGTGTTTGCTGAATGTTTCAAGCACAGCATCGGGTCACGTGACTGGGACCAGTCAACTTGAGTGGGCTGCCCTAGGATTTTCATCCAAAAGTCCGACTGCACAGGGGAAGAAACTGTTTTTGTGGCGAGAGGTTCTGGTCCGAATAGATCTGAGCCTTCTGCCAGATGGGAGCGAGTCGAAGAGACTGTGTTCAGGGTGACACGAGTCGGCTTTTATCCGACCTGCATGCCTCAATGTCCTAGAGGTGTACAGATCTGAATGGAGGGGAGTTTGCAGCCAATGACCTTCTCTGCAGAGCGCACGACACGCTGCAGCCTCTTCTTGTCCCTGGTGGTAGCTCCAGCGTACCACACGGTGATGGAGGAGGTGAGGATGGACTCGATGACTGCGGTGTAGAAAGGCCTCATCGACTGTGGTGATAGGTTGAATTTCTTCAGCTGCCTCAGGAAGTACATCCTCTGCTGGGCCTTTTTTCTGATGGTGGTGATGGTGGGCTCCCATTTGAGGTCCTGGGTGATGGTGGTGCCCAGGAAGCGACATGAGTCCACCATCATGATGGGAGTGTCAGACAGGTTTAAGGGGCGATGGGGTGTGTGTGTTTCCTAAAGTCCACAACAACCTCCACTGTCTTCTGGGCGTTTAGCACCAGGTTGTTGTGGCTGCACCAGGACACCAGCCGTTCAGCCTCCATTCTGTAAGCGGACTCATCCCCATTAGAGATGAGTCCGATGATGGTGGTGTCATCAGCAAACTTAATTAGTTTGACAGACTCATGCTTGGAGGTGCAGCTGTTGGTGTACAGGGAGAAGAGCAGAGGGGAAAGAACACAGCCCTGTGGTGAGCCGGTGCTGATGGTCCGTTGGTCCGAGACATTCTTCCCCAGACTGACTTGTTGTTTCCTGTCTGTCAGGAAGTCAGTGATCCACCTGCAGATGGGGTCAGGCACGTTCATCTGGGACATTTTGTCTTGGAGGAGATCTGGCAGGATTGTGTTGAATGCAGAGCTGAAGTCCACGAACAATAACCTGGCGTAGGTACCGGGGGAGTCCAGATGCTGCAGGATGAATAGTAGAGCCATGTTGATTGCGTCATCTACAGACCTGTTTGCTCTGTAGGCAAACTGCAGGGGGTCCAGGAGGGGGGGCTGTGAGGGTCTTGAGGTGGGGGAGATCTAGGTGCTCAAATGACTTCATGACCACAGATGTCAGAGCCACGTGTCTGTAGTCATTTAGTCCAGTGATTCTTGGTTTCTTGGGGACAGGGACTATGGTGGAGATCTTGAAGCAGGCAGGCACATGAGATTCCTCCGGTGAGGAGTTGAAGATGCTCGTAAACACTGGGGACAGCTCTTCATAGAGTGGCAGGAGCCACGCCATCAGGGCCCGGGGCTTTTCATGTGTTAAGAGACCTGAACTGCTTCTTTACATCTGCTTCATGAATGTGTAGATTTGTGGTGGAGGTGTGTGATGTGAAGACCTCATGAGTGGGGAGTGAGGGGGAGGGTGATGAAGGTAAACTCCACAGTCATGGTGATGGCTCTGTAGTGGGGAGTGGCTGACCAATGTCTCCATTTTTGGGGCTGAACGAGGAGTGAGGCCTGCCTGATGGCTCATCAAGCCGACAATAGAAATTGTTTAGGTTGTTTGCCAAGAGCAGATTATCGGTGGAGGCAGGGGTTCTGGGTTTGTAGTTGGTGATGTTCCTGAAACTTTTCCACACAGAGGTTGGGTCGTTTTCAGAGATTTGCTGCTGCATTTTGTCATGATGCTGGTGTTTTGCTTTGACCAATTCTTTGCTGAACCTGTATTTAGTGTCTCTGTAGGAGTCCTTGTCCCCCCTTTTAAATGCATCTCTCTTTTCTAACCACAACTGTTTGAGTTTAGGGGTAAACCAGGCTTTGTCATTGTTATAACTCACCCTGGTGTGTGATGGTATGATGCTGTCCTGACAGAAGTGGATGTAGGAGGTGACGGTATCTGTGAACTAATCTAAACTGTCTGAGGTGGCCTTCATTACCTCCCAGTCTGTGGTCTCAAAGCATGTGCGAAGCTCATCTGCGGCATCTGTGTTCCACTGTCTTGTTGACTTCACAACAGGCTTGTAGAGTTTTAGCCTTTGTTTGTAAGCTGGGATCAGATGGATGGTCACGTGGTCAGAGAGTCCAAGCGCAGCGCGCACCACTGCATGATAGGCTCCTGTTACTGTGCTGTAACAGTGGTCCAGGGTTTTCCCCTCTCTGGTTGGACATTTGATATACTGTTTATATTTGGGAAGCTCCTGGCTCAGATTTGCTTTGTTAAAGTCTCCAAGTACAATGATGAGTGAATCCGGGTACGTCCGCTCCGTGCACAGTATCTCTTCCGCGAGCGCACGCTGAGCCTCGTGCACGTCCGCGTCAGGTGGGATGTAAACAGCGCCTAGAATGAATGAGGCGAACTCCCGCGGAGAGTAAAATGGTTTACAGTTTGTGAAAAGATATTCCAGAGATGGAGAACAATGCTGCGCGATCACTGTGACATCTGTGCACCAACCATTATTGATGTAAAAACACACACCTCCACCTGTGGTCTTGCCGGAGAGAGTCGCTTCCCGATCTGCGTGGATGAGGTGAAACCCCTCCAGCTGGAGCTCGCAGTCGGGGGTGTCCTCACTGAGCCATGTTTCAATGAAGCATAGAACCCCAGATGAGGAGAAGTCTCTGTTTATGTTCCTCATCAGGGTCAGCTCGTCCATTTTGTTGCGGAGTGAGCGCACATTAGAGAGGAAGATCCCAGGTAGAGCCGTGCGCAGTCCCCGTCTCCTCAGACGCACGAGCGCGCCCGCTCGTTTACCTCTCCTCCTGCGTCTCACTTTCCTGATTAAAGTTGATATTGAATCGGCCACGGATGCAACAAAAAACGAGGTTAAGTCCACCGGAATCATAGTGTTGTAACTTATGAGTTCTTCTCTTGAGTAGGAGTACCCAGATACGCAATTTACACACAAAAACAGAACAATAACAGCGCACCAAATTACCAAGGCAGCCGTCTGCGGCGCCATCTTGAAGATACCAGATCAATCAATCAAAGCTTTATTTATAAAGTGCCTTCCGCAACCCTGTCAGGAAGCCCAAGGCGCTGAACATGGTACAGTAGAAGGTAAATATATTGAATAAATCAAAAATAAAAGCAATTCAAATTACAAATTACAAAAAAGGTGAAACATTCTGGTACAGGACAAATGTGTAAAACAATGGATTGAGTGAACCAATGAAAACTGTAAGATAAAATCAACATAAAAGAGGGCCAAATTCAAACATGTTCAGGAAACGCCAAGCGGAGGAGGTGTGTTTTTAGGTGACTCTTAAAGACTGGCAGAGATGGGGACAGCCTAACTGAGGGTGACAACTGGTTCCAGAGTGACGGTGCTAGGACTGAGAAAGCCCAGTCCCCGCAAGTACAACACCTAGAACGAGGGACAGCGAGCAGGCCTTGGTCAGAGGAGCGCAGAGCGCGTGATGGGGAATGTCTGTTCAGTAGTGTGGCTAGATAGGGTGGAGCACCACTGTTCTGCACAACCTGTAGGCGACGCAGTGTTGACTGACACAACCCTGCATAGAGAGAGTTGCATTAGTCAAGCCTAGAAATTACAAAGGCATGCAGTACCCGCTCCAGGTGGGCTCTCGACAGCATAGGCTTGATTTTTGCAAGGCGTCTCAGGTGAAAGAAACTGGACCGGATCACAGAATTGATGTGAGCATCAAATTTAAGTCCAGCATCAAGTTTCACCCCCAAACTGGTAACAACTGGTTTTGAGTAGGGAGAAAGAGGGCCAAGATCAACATAACGATCCACATTCCTGCTGTTGGGGTGAAAAACAATGAGCTCTGTCTTTCCCTCATTCAGCTGTAGAACGTTGGCCATTAGCCAAGACTTCACCTCGTTAAGACAGGACACAAAGGACTGGATAGAGTGACCTTTCTCCTGACACAATGGAGAGTAAATCTGGTAATCGTCAGCATAGAGATGGAATGATAGGCCATGTTTACGAACGATTGACCCCAGAGGAAGCAGATAAATGGCAAACAAAAGAGGACCAAGGATCGATACCTGCGGGACACCCCAGCGGAGCCCCTCCCAAGATGAGAAAACATCACCCAGTTTAACGCAGAATGTCCTGTTGTGGAGATACGATCTAAACCAATCCAGAGCTGACCCTTTGATCCCAACCCATCGTTCCAAGCGATCGAGTAGAATCGCGTGGTCAACTGTGTCGAAGGCTGCCGTCAGGTCTAACAACAGAAGCACCACAGATGTACCCTGATCTAGTGATAGATAGATGTCATTTAGGACCCTCAGTAGAGCTGACTCTGTGCTATGGCCAGACCTGAACCCTGATTGGAAAACCTCAACTAGATCAGAGTCAGCTAAATGTGAGACCAGCTGCTGATAAACGACTTTCTCAAGCAGTTTAGATGTAAAGGGCAGGGTAGAGATAGGCCTGTAATTTGCGATCACAGAGACATCAGCACCAGGTTTCTTCAGGGTCGGCCGAATAACTGCTGCTTTCAAAGCAGCTGGGACCACACCTGTGCTGAGGCTCCCATTGATAATCTGACCAAGTGAAGGGCCAAGACACTGAAAGGCAGCCTTCCAGAGACGAGGCGGCAGAACGTCAAGTGGAGAGCCAGATGGCTTCTGCCTCGCAACAAGCGTACTCAGCTGAGTATGAAACAGTATTGAGGGAGCTCAGGGTGGGTGGTGATGGAGGAACTGGAACAGGGTCAACAGAGTTACCAGAAATAGCTGCTCTAATGCCTGACACTTTATGAACAAAGAATCTGTGAAAATCTTCAGAGTTTCCAGCAGCTGTAGGAGACATGGAGCAAGGCTCTTGATACACCAGAACAGAATTTAGTGTTTTGTAGAGAATCCTGGGATTCTTGGAGTTTGTTTCGATGATGTCTGCAAAATAGGCCGTTCTGGCAGCCCTCACTGCATCCTGATAAACAGATGCTTCACCCAGATGCTTCTGGGTGATGTTCACAGGTGAGCAGACCTGAGCAGGTGAGGTAAGACCTGCACTGAGACCATCCTTACCTGCAGCTCGGGTTCAGGATTTATCACAGATCTAGTCCTCTACAGACCTCTGATGTTATTAAATGTGGGCAATGCTAAGAGGTTTTGGTTCTTCACCTGCCAGACAGCAGATCTTTCTTTGTCTTCTCTCGTGACGTGTTATTCTCCAGCTTCACACTTTAAAGCTTGTTTCTTCCTGAACATTTCTGTCCACAGGAACCCCACTCCCACCCCTCCTGAGCCTTTTCCCACAGAGTCTCAGCATGTACCCAAACAGAGGGCCACCTTCTGACTCGGACCACCGACCCAATCCACGGCCTTACAGCGCTGCAGCTGACAGCAACTTTTACAGATGGTCTCAGCAGGGGTCTTTGTCCTCAGCCTCCTCGTCTTCCAGGAGCTCAGCAGCTCTGCCACCACGTCCGAGTGCTCAGGACACCGTGCAGAGCCTCCTGACCAGCTGTGGGCTGGAGCCTAAAGACCTTGCCGTCCTTGCCAAATTACCTGAAGATGTTCTGACTGTTGAGTCTCTCCCAAACATTATTCAACAGATCAAGAGCAAAAAGGGAACTGTCCGACCTTTTATTCCTACAGCTGCTTCTGCACCTTCCAGTTCTTCCTCCTCCTCCAACTTCAGCTTCTCCCAACGACCCACTTCCAGCTTCACCTCTGCAGACCGGGACCAGCTCCGCAGCCAGCCAGTCCAGTACCCATTCCAGCAAATCCCATATACTGCTCCTGCTTCTGAACCACTCCTGGACTTCCAGGGGGGTCGCATGACAGCTCGTTCTGTTATACCACCTTCCTCCTCCTCCAGAGCTGCTCTGGATTATGACCACAGGCCACACACCTCCAAGTATGGTAAGGTGGTTTCTTCCTGCAGCCCAGCCGGCCCACAGAAAGGACCTCGACCTTCTCGTTTCTCAGATGCTGAGAGAACAGATCACAGAACCGTTGCTCCTGCTGATGAGTTCCGCCGCTGCTCCGGGTCATCCAGTGTCCCTCGGCCCATGGCCTCAGTGCCCTCTAAGAAACAAGCTGAGGACTTCCACGGTGTGTCCCCGCAGGTGTTCCCGTACTCGTGCTCTCTGTGTTTTATCACAGTGCTATCAGTGAAGGTAAGTTTACCTGTCCTCTAGTGGTCTACAGGGGAGTGGTTGTGGGGGCCTGTGAGGGATTACAGGTGATGTGGTGACTGGAAGTAGAGTCCTGCAGTGAGATGGGTATCCCGCGTGTCCTGAATTTTCCTACTAGAAGATGGAGATTGCACCTGATGACAAAATGAAGGGTGAAGATTTTAAAACGGAAGAAAAAAAATGTTAGATTTACGTAAACAACAAAGGAGTGCCAGGGTCAGACAGACAAGGGAAATGGCTCATTAAATGCAGCAGCTGCCTGCACAATGGTTGCTCAGCGTACCCCCAGCTGGAACTGCTTAGGTCATCTGCAAGGTAAGAAACAGCTGCACCAGCGTTCATCAGCTAGCTTCTTATGTTCTTAACACTGATTAGCTTGTATGAAAGCCAACACAATCGGTAAGTTTAGGAGTTCCATCAGAGAGGATGGGACGGACGGGGAGGGATCCAGGTGCAGGAGGGTGATTCAGAGAGGGATGCTGAATCTGATAGAGTTCATCCGCATCTAACGTCTTGTCCTGGCTGGCCTGCACTCCATTTAAAAAAAATCTCAAGCAAGGCCGAGTGTTACATGTGATGATGCCGGGTTCGGGATTCAGGTCATTTCATTTTGACTAACATGGGTTTTTCCATTGCTGATACTGATGTCAATATATAGAGGTCATGGTTAGCCAATGGCAGATATCGAGACGTTTTCCTCCTTATTTATGTGCTAAAATGTCATTAATTTTACTACCTCTTATGTGAGCTGTCTTTACTGAGTGCAGTAAGATTCGTTGTACACTGACCTAAGGCTGGGCGATATGGCCTCAAATCTATATTGCGATATATTTTTTCCTCTGTTTATATATGTCAAAATGACATGCTTTTAAATATCCCCATGTGGCAAATATATGCCACATGAGGCATAGGCCTCCTCCTCCACCCACTCCATGCTTGCAGTCACTGCCATTCTGTTGTCCCAGTGTCAGCAGGGTGCACATCTTAGTGACGTCATGTGTTATCGCGGTATTGCGGTATAGCCAAAAACTATCATTACCCAATTTTATATAGTTTCTACCTTATATCGTTTATATTGCCCTCCCCTACACTGACCGGTGCAATAACAAAAAACCTTGACTCTCGAATAACATCATTTGATGCACAAAATTTCTGAAGCTGAATCCAACTGTGAAATCTTAATTATATGCAGCGCTCAGTGTTAAAATCAGACATCTAAAGTTAATCCAACAAATCAATTACCTGACCAATTATTTAACATTCAAAACCGGTAAATAAAAGATCTTAGTTGAAAATAATTTTAGAGCATTTAGTAAGCAAATGATATTCAGAAATTTAAATATACATTTAAGTTAAATTCTGCACCGGGCTGCCTGTGGATGTGCCTGACTTTAAACCGGCTTTACTAAGGAGGGATGTCAGCCGATACTGAAATATAAAAATGGTACAAATCAGTCCAATATCTCAGCTAAACCCTAATATGAACCTCGTCAGCCTGTGTTTGGAGATGCGGGAGCCGGTGGTAATGGTCAGCTTCAGCTGGAGCGAGATTTAAGTCCTGCGCAGAGATCCAGTTGAAAATTCAGCAGACTCACTTTTTGCCTGTGTTTCAGGTTTGGACTGAGCACGTTAACAGCTCTGTCCATGCAAACGGACAGCTCAGACTGCTGCAGCAGTGAGTCTTCACACACACACACACACACACACACACACACACACACACTGGGGGATTTATCAAGTACTGATCTAATGCCATGTACTCATACCCATAAAGGGTCTCACACACACTGTAGTTTCATGTTGTCATAACTTTTGTCTCCTCAGGTTTCCTGACTGGGACTGTCGTGTCAGCAGGTCAGTAATGTCATAATCTGACTAAAACATCATTTTAGTCTCATCGCCTTACAGCATAAAAACTGCTGATTCAGTGCTGATCAGAGGTCACATGATAGAGAAATCAGGAGTAGTTCCGACCACCGTAACTGACCAGTCAGACCGTGCAGCCAACTAGCTGTCACAGCTGTTAGAGGGCACTCAGAAACAGTCAGAGGGAGTTTGGCTGTGAGAAAGCAGCTGCTAACACCCCAACATGACTAGTCATGAGTTTTCTGTTTCTAGTGACAATGGGGAATCGGGGAGAAGGAAGAAAGCATCAAAGGATGAATCAAGACCTGCTCCATCAGCTCAGAGAGCTGGTCAGAACCAAGGTGGGTTTGCCTCATTAATGTGTGTGTGGTTCTGCTCCATGTTGTGGTTCTAACAGTATGTCTGTTGTGTTCAGCAGCATCACAAACCAGCAAGCAGCAGAAGGTAAAGATCAGATCCAGTCTGAGATCAGCTCAGCTGCTGATGCTGCTGGACCTCAGTGTGTTTGTGTGTGTGCGCATGTGTGTCAGCCTTCAGACAGAGGGAGAGTGGTGTGTGTGAAGTTTCCAGCTCAAGCTGTGGACGAGGAGTATCTACGAGAACTCGTGGAACCATTTGGAAAAATGGGCAAAATCCTCCTGTTTCCATCTGTGGTGAGTTTCACAGGCTGTCACAAACAGTGTCTCACACACTCGTGTGTGTGTGTGTGTGCGTGCGTGTGTAATGGTAAATGTGATTGCTGCAGGCCTTTGTGGAGCTGGGTTCTGCTGACCAGGCCAAGGACTTGGTGAAGTTTTACAACAACTCGGATTTAGCTGTGACGAAGAAGCAGATCGAGTTTAGCATCTCCAGCACCTTCACCTTCCTGCAGGTAGCACCTGTCTGTCTCTGTGCGTCTCTCTGTCCGTCTGTCCCACCTGAAGCAGTCATTTTCTTTGTTTGCCTCAGAGCTCTCAGGTGGTGACTTTCACTCCAGCTCCGAGAGGAAAAGACGGACTCTCAGATCTGATCAGCATCATCAAACGCTTTGGCGAGCCACTTTACACCCTCTTCCTGCCGTCCAAGGTGAGCTCAAACAGAACTGGTTAGCAGAACTTTTAAATCCATCACGAGGCGTGTTTCCATTACCAGAACTCCAGGGTAGTTCCTGGGATGGGGAACTTGACCAGGAGATAGGATGCCCCAGTCCTCTTGGCTGTTGTGTCTCCATTCAAATCCAGCCCTTTCAGAACTTGCACAGACGTCAGCATTTCACTGATCAGCCCCAAAAAGCACCCAAAGTAACATTAATAATATTAAAAGCATTTATTTTATAGAAGATAATTTCATTCATTCAGAGAACAACAGCAGCTCTGAGTTTTGTGAGACAAGCCCCGTTAATTAAGTCTCTGGAGGAATTTCCCTGAGTTTTCTGGTGTCGGGAGTTAGATTTTAAATGCGATCGGTGCTTTTTTATTTATTTATTTATTTTGGTTCCATTCTGCTTCACCAGCTACTCTTCTAATTTTACTGCTGCTGGTTGTTTTGGACGCCTGCTGATGTCATTTCCTACTGAGTTACATCCAATCTGCGTGAGTTAACCGGAGGTTCCAATCAGCTACTCCACCGGGCCGTTCAGAGAACCTACTCCGGAGCAGGTACTCAGAAGGTTCCTGAAAACGGCCCCAAAAATGGTCGTTCGGACGGCCCGGTCAGGTGGAGACACGAGCATGTTGGGAGGTTCCTGTAGATCTACCCTGAAGCTCTTGTAGTGGGAACACCCCTATGGACTCTGTAGTCCTGGTCCAGAACCTCTGATCCAGTCTAACCCTATAACCTCTTAGTAGTTCCAGAGTATCTGAAGGTTTGTTTGAGTTTTTCTTTGGACTAATTTTTTTCATGTTTCAGTCCCGATAGACCCGATGCTAGTAATGTGCGTTATAAATGGTATAAGATATAACTGGTATGATTTTGACATATGATATAGAAGTTTTTACTACCAGCTAACCGGTTGTGCTTGCTGATGAGGAGCGCAACAGTTTAGCACTTCACCCACTTTTGCAAGAATGTTATCAATCTGCGTCAGCTTTGGACGAAACCAGCTGCAAAGCAGGGTGCGTGGATGGAGACGTGCTTGTAAAGAACACGGGGTAACGTCGGTTACACGGACCTGCTTTGGATTTTAGGGGTCGGATGGTGAGCCGGAAAACATCTTCAGTAAAATATGCTGGGTGAGAGTAAAGTCGTATCAGCGTTAACAGTTTAACACCAAATCTTAAATGCTGTTCGTTTCTAACATGATGAACACACAACACTTTCAAACTTTTTGGACATCTCCTGTGATTTAGTTTGAGCAGCTATCCCACACAGTCCTTCCCAGTTTCAGCCGTTTGTCCTGCTAAGTTAAACAGATCTAGTCTCCTCCCCCTGTCTCTCACTCTGTGCTGGTGCACACCGCCGTGGGTCACACTGGCATGGATCAGCTGATCTGAGCGCAGTTGAACAAAAGTGAAAGAAACTGGATAAACCTCCAAGCAGCAGAGCATTCTTCTAAATGCAGTTATTCAAACTCCTGAAGTAAAACTTAACATCTGTCAGCAAAAAGCATGAAAAATGAACCAGGAGCAGAAAGAAATGTTATTTGTGTTTTTACATGTTTCACTTTTTCCTCAAGATCCTTAACATAAAAACTATTTCAGATATTTTGTATTTATTTCAATTAGTTTTGAAAATTAAATGTAATTTATAATAATAATTAATACTGAAATTTATTCTTTAGTTTTTAGGATTATTTGTTCTGCAATTCTGGTATGTGAGATTGTTCAAAAACATTTTTACTAGGGCCGGGACTTTAACTCGTTAATTACGATTAATTAATTAGAAAAAAATAACGCGTTAAAAAAATTAACGCATTTAATCGCAGCTTGCATTTCAAGCACGGCAGAACCTTTGTCATTGCACGACTTCCTCGTAGACTGAAAATCACTGACGCACACAACAATGCACAGTGCTAATGGCTACTAAAATGGAATGAAAACAGAGAGAAGTTGCCTTGCTTGGACTGATGCAGGATTTAGGAAACACATCCGCCTCTTTTCTTAACTTGGAAAAAAAAACTTCCAGACAACAACAGAGTCGTGTCGCGGACATTTTTCAGAGATCATCTCTGTTGGGGCTGCCCGGTGGCACCGGAAACTTTACAAAAGTTGCGGTAAGCCAGTGGTTCCCAAACTTATTTAGCCGCGCACCCACTTCTATGTCCCGACCATATTGATGAACCCCCCCAGCCCCACATCAGGGCATGGCTATATATATATATATATATATCAGACGTCACGCTAAACCAGGGGTCGGCAACCTGTTCCCATCAAAGAGCCATTATTACCTGTTTCCCACAGTAAAGAAAACACCGCAGCAGCCGCGGCGTTGTGGGCGGGTTCTACCCTCAGACAGCAGAGCGCTGCTCACAACAGGTGACAGCAGCCAGTACCGGTCGCTCGTGTACGTCAAAGCTATCTTTCATAAGAAGATAATCAATAAAACGATTTATATAAAAAGGATCCAGAAGTTGTAGCCCGTCTCTGCCTACAATATTTTGATATTTTTCACCCTGTTGGTGGTTTTACTGAGCAGGTGCCACTTTTGTCATACGTTTCTTTTAAATACATGTTTAGACTGTTCAGAATACAAATCCAGGCTCTGTCACGTTTGCTTGTTGTAATTAAACTTTGTAGGTGGGGAAGGTCAGAAAAGGATCCGATCAATTTGTTTTTCCCTCATTTACAGCGACGGAGACAACGGCGCAGTGCGCCTGGCTCTGGTGTTAATCAAGTTAAATTATATCTCTTTGCAACAATTTTCACAAGAAAACATAACGGTTAAAAGCAGGGCTTGTGTTGACCGGACAGTTCCCGTATTTGGCCGTTTATTTTGACGTTGAAAGAATAGAAAAAATTACCCCGACGCATGCAGACGAACTGACACTGTATTCGTTTCGCAAATCGCAGATGTAGCTAAATCACTCAAGAAAAGATTCCCTTCTGAACATCTGAGCTGGACACCGCTCAGTCAGCGGGTACATAAGGTGCACAGCGAGCTGAAGATGTGGAGAGGGGCTTGGAACACGTCGCAGAACCAGAGCGCATGCGGGAAGATTCCTTCCACTGAAGCGAGAGTTTTCCAAACCCGGTCTCTCAGAGAGACTTGTCACTTAGAAAATGTTCCCTGATGATGAAACTTTGGCTGAATTGTGCTTGTTCCTGTCTCCAATGTGGCGTCTGAGGAGAATCCCAGAATCTCACATCGTCTTCAGCTCAGAAAGCGCCTATATGATTACGCACAAGCGTGACGCGTCAACCCGGTCACACAGTAGACCGGGTTGGACCTGTTCAGGTTTACAGACAATCTTTACATTTAGAATTGGCATACAGATGTAAAATTAATGCAGTAAAATATAAAGCATTTTATTTAAATATCTATTCATTATTTTACAAGCACAGAGAGCCGCATCAGATGGATGGAGGAGCCTCATGCGTCTCCAGAGCTTGCCGACCCCTGAGCTAGGGCATGTGCGGAGGACACACACACACACACACACACGCACACACACACACACACACACACACACACACACACAAGCAAAATATACTTGTTTTCAATTACGTTTATTGGGCCCACATACATTTTCTTAGGCCCGCCCACAAATGAGTTTCTGGCTACGCTAATGGTGACTTTTGACAGACCTCTCTGAGCTCCGCAGCCATTACACTTTTCACCTCGCGCACCCCCTAGCGGCAGCTGGGAATCCCTGCGGTAAGCTATATTTTTAACATTTACGTAACATCTGCAGTGCTTAAAGCACCAGACAGAATAATTCTGTGCCCTAACAGTAGTTTATGAAAGTAGTCAGACAAACGAGGCACCTGGCTGCCGCTGGGAACGCTCCGTGTTCTCACTACTCTGTAAACAATCACAGACAACGTGTCTTACAGTTGAAAACAGAAGTTTAAGTTAAAACAGAAACACTCTGAAACTTTTCTGATGATTTTCTAAACAATTCTGTCGGGAAATTTTATGTTTCTGAGACGAGTCACTGTCTAAACATCACATGCATTACTATCATTAAGCAGCGAGGTGTGTGAAGCTGTCATCAGCTAAGGGGCGGATGCTTAAGTGTATCAGGGGCAGCGAGGAACGAGAAAGTTGTGATCAGGCTGGAGATCACACCAGATTCACTGCTGCAGGCGTGAATCTGCGGGTCTGCGGCTTCCCCTTCTTAACGTGACATCAGGACTTCCCATGTAAGGAAGGTCCGCTCACCTGTTCGTCAGATCATTATTTCCTCGCCATGGTCATTTATCTTCCCATCATCCTCCAGTCATCCAACTGGAACCAGTTAGTGTTCCTGATTATTCTCAGAATATGCCATGCCTGCTCTGGTGTTAAAAGTTAGTACATTTAAGTCCTAGGTCATATTTGTGCCAGTTCTACTGTCATTTTGAAGGATTATTATTTATGTGTTTTTACTACATTATGAGTAGAAATGCTAATAAAAACTCCCAATTATACAAACAAGTGAAACTGGAAAAATTAGAATCTGGTGCAAAGTCAAATTTATTTCAGTCATTCAACTAGGCAGAGAGACTATTTAAAGGCTCAGGAACCCTTTGCAGGTGTTTTCTATTAGTAATTATAATTTTTAGTTGATTTGGGTTTTGTTTCATATCACACAGTGACATTTGAATAATTAAACTGCATTTCTTATTAAAAGCTTTAGTTTACAGTAATAACCATGTCTAATGTTTGATTCTCTGTCTCATAATTTTAATTAAAAGTTTTACTTTGAGAGCACATTTTGCTGAACGATTAAAATGAAATTAATTTAGATTAATTAATTACAAACCCTGTAATTAATTAGATTAAAATTTTTAATCAAGTCCCAGCCCTAATTTTTACATGTATAAACAGAAAAAAAGAATATGTCGTGATATACATCGGTCCCGCATGTGCTGCAGAAATTACAGCAATATAGATTTTAAGCCATATCGCCCATTCCTATCCGATACCACACCCATTTTAGATGAATGTTTCATGTTTGTTCAATCAATCAATCAAAGCTTTATTTATAAGTTGAACCCAATCATAATTTATTCACTGCTGTCTAATCAACATCACCTCAGAAGTGCCGTAGCTTCAAGTTAAAACTGATTCCTATTATCAGCTGACCTGATGGATCCTGGTTCTATACAACCCAGAACCCTGCAGGCTGAACTCTATCACGGGTCTTGGCTCTAAACTTTTCTAACTTAACTGTTTCAGGCCTCTGTTGAGATGAAGTTCTCTGCTGACGCCCAGAAGCTGGTCAATTACTACACGTCCAACACTCTGAGGATCAATAATGACCTCATCAGTGTCAGTTTCTCTTCTGAGTACAAGAGCCTCATGTGAGTGGGACCAGGTCCACATGAAGCCGTCTCTCTGATTCTGATCCACTCATCTGTTGGTAATAAAGGTCCGGTTCTCTTCTGTCCCCCAGGAGGGTTTCAATGGCCCAAAAGTACGAAGAGGAACCAACCAAGACTACAACGAGGAGCAGTGAGTCCAGCAGAGATCGGAGGACCAGGTCTAGGTCCAGAGACCGGTCCAGAAGAGATGATGAATCCAAAACCAGGTCCCAAGACGAGATCAACAGAGATGAAAGAACCAGGTGTAGGTCCACAGACAAAAGATCCAGATCCAGAGACAAGATCAGTAGAGACAAAAGAACCCGGTCCAGATCCAGAGACAAGCACTTCAAAGATGAGAAGACCAGAAAAGTTTCTGGAGACAAATCCATTCAAGAAACAACGTCCAGTTGCAAAGAAGAGTCCAGCAGCATCTCAAAGCAGAACCAATCTAAAGAGAACTCTGAGAGACCAGGTGAGACAACAGAGCCTGACTCAAACTTTATCCAACCTTAGAGCAAAACAAAACCAACATCTGTGACCGGACGGTTACACCACACATCTCCACACACGTCTCTTTCATAAAAACGAAGCAGGATCATCTGTCTCTTTATGCAGATGACATCCAACTGTACATCTCCTTTAAGCCCCATGAGATGTCTAAGCTGCAGCTGTTACACACCTGCTTAGACTTAGAGATCCTCATCTGTGCCCCAGACAAGCTGGTTCCCAAAGTCAGAGACTCTCTTGGTCAGCTTGCTTCTCACACCAAACCCTCTGTCAGGAATCTTGGCGAGACCTTTGACCCAGCTCTCACCCTGGATTCTCATGTCAGTTCTCTTGTTTGCTCTTCCTTCTTCCATCTCAGGAACATTGCTAAGCTGAGTCCCATTCTGTCTCGCTCTGAACTTGAGACAGTTATCCACACCTTCATCTCCTCACGCTTAGACTACTGTAACTCTCTTTTCACATGTCTGAGCAGAGCCTCCCTGAACTGTCTACAGGTGGTTCAGAATGCCTGTGCTCGGCTTCTGACCAAGTCCTCCAAATACACCCACATCACCCCACTTCTCCTCCAGCTTCATTGGCTGCCAGTCAACTTCAGGGTTCATTTCAAGATCTTGGTTCTGGTCTATAGGGCCTTACATGGACAAGCACCATCTTACATTGGTGATCTTCTTAGTCCCTACACCCCCAGCAGGTCCCTGAGGTCCAGTGATTAAAGCCTACTGGTTGTGCAGCACCAGGCTAAAGATCAAAGGTGACAGGTCATTTGCTGCTGTGGCCCCTAGACTCTGGAACTCTCTTCCCCTGAGCCTGAGATCAGTGGACTCAGTGGTCTCCTCTATAAAGCAGCTGAAGACTCACTTGTTCAAGCTGGCTTTTGTATGACCTTCTTCACCACTCTCTCTTTATTCTGCTCTCCCCACCTATTCCACCTTCCTCAGGATCCAGTTTTCCCTCTTTCCTATTCACTTTCTCTCCTTCTTAACATTTTTTTAAATCACAATTGCCTATTTTTGCTCATTTTAAATGTATTTTTAAACATTTTCTAAATGCTTTTTTACATTTTTACATTTTTTGTTTTTGTGAAGCGCCTCGTAGTTTTTTTCTTGAGGCTCTATAGAAATGATATTTTCTTCTTCTTCTTCTGTCTATCTTCTGCTTGATCCTGATCATGGTGGAGCAAGTTGGTGAGAGTTGGACATGCTCCTGGTCCTGGACAGGTTGCCAGTCTGTCACAGGGACACAAGGAGACTCCACACTCGCACATGGAACCACTTTAGGATCATCGGGTGTTTTCTACATACTGTAAATCCTCTTAATATTAGCCTGTATTCAATTACTGGCCAGGTCTCCTACATTAGCCGGTCTCGCTGTCATCGGGGGTAAATAAAGGTCCGGGCTATTATTAGAAACAGCACATAATTTTTTTTTCTTGGCAGGCATCAGCATTACTGGTATAGGAAGCCCAAGTCACGCCCATCTACTTCTGGACCATTGGTCCCCGGAAGATCAAAAAAATGAATGCAACTCAATGGGGCTAAAAACGCTATTTTCTAATTTTGCTTGTTATGTGCAATGGATTTCACATATGATGTCCATGAATTTTAAAGAAGCATTTTCATACCAAGAACACGCTTATTTACGAACAGGCGGAAATGCTATTTTTGTGTGAAAATAAGTCCAGCACTACAAATGTGCTTCACGAAAGTGACGTCATCGAACCAGACATGAAGAAAACTGAGGGAAAATGACTGTAAGTTTAGAAAACATCAAGTCCTTCCCACAGGAGGAAAGAACCACCATAAATCTGGTCATTTGGTAAGTAGCAGTTAAGCTAGGGGAGAGTAGCTTTTGTGGTGACGTCACATATGCGACGTGCCGATTTCTGGTGTGTTGTCGGAACCAGCGGAGGTAAAGAACGTTCTGCCACTGTACCTGGATTTTGTGGCTGAGCTCACTGCATCCTGGGCCAAGCTGCTATCCACCCGCAGCACGGTCCCGGGTTACAGTCAGTTTTTGGACCTCGACGGCGCAGAAAGGGCAAGATTGGTTAACCTCCCTCCGATGGAGCCCCTTCTCGCGGCTTACCTGGCCCCGACTTGCAATAACGAAGTTTGTGGACAAACTAATTACCCTCCAAGCCATGCCGCTTCTCAGCTGCACAATTGGAGAAGGTTTACCCTGCTCAGGCCTCCACTGCCCATGTCCTCAGCTCTTCCACCGTGCTCCAGACCTACCAAGCACTTTGCCTGGCAGACCTTGGAGCAAGGGTCCCACCCGACAGCCCACTGACCCTCTTCATCAATGAGATACGGGTCACGTCGGACTACATTCTGCGAGCGGCCCGAGGCGTCGCCCTGCTGTTGGGAAAAGGTATAGCCTCAACTGTAGTGGCTCAGAGACACTTGTGGCTGACCCGACAGGGCTAACTACCCGGACGAGCCTGTCGCACCCAGTGGTCTTTTTGGACAGTCCCTCGACACTATTCAGACAAAGTTCGAGGCCCAGTGGAAACAGACTGAAGCGCTACGCTCCATCATCCCCAGGCGGGAAGGGTGGCGCATGGCATCTGGGTCTGACAGGAAGAACCTGATCTCTCCTCCTCCACCTCAAGGGATCATCCTCGCCAGCGGCAGCGAAGGGCTCGGTCCCAGCTCAGACCCCGTCATTCCCTCCTCGCCACTCCGCCTGGAGTAATGGCCCTCCTGGGGACTCACAGAAATGCTCTGTGAGCCACAAAAAGAAACCTCAGTCGTCCTGATCCCGGGACCGACCTTGTTCAGGTTTTGGACCCTGTTGGACTACAAAACCCCAGTTTTCCATGGTTGAAATGGACCAGTTCAGCTACGGTTCAACCCCGCAGTCCAAAGAGACTTTGTTTTACTGCCCCCAGGGGGCGAGAGTTGTACTGTTTACAAAAACATTCACACAAATGTAATAAAGGGCTGCATGGTGGCGCAGTGGTTAGCACTGTTGCCTCGCGGCACAAAGGTTGCAGGTTCGAAACTCGGCTGCGGCCTTTCTACGTGGAGTTGCGTGTTCTCCCCATGCATGCATGGGTTTCCTCCGGATACTCCGGTTTCCCCCACAGATCACAACATGCCCTATAGGTTATAAATTGTAAGTCGCTTTGGATAAAAGCGTCTGCTAAATAAATAAACGTAAACATAAACAAATATAAAGACTACTGTTTGCACTCAAAGATGTGTGGATGTCTTTACAATGCTTCTTAAATTGGCCCCATAAAGCTGCGTCAACCCGCTCCGCTGGTGAACGACAGCTCAGTTTTCACATCAAATCCTGTGTGCAATCAGCTTCTGTGGGAGCAGGAAAAGCTGCTGTTCTCCCGCTCTGCTGGAGAACAGCAGCTTTCCTCCGGTGGCATACATGATGTTCAGAAAGCCTCCCGTTCCGCTAGAGGGCAGCAGCTCCCCCATCATGGCACTGAGCGGTTGCCTCGTGGTGAAAGTTCACCTCTGGCAAGCATGCGCAGTGTCCCCCTGGGTCAAGCGCAAGGTTGCCATGGGTTACCGACTGCAGTTCCTGGTCAAACCGCCCGTATTTCCCTCTGTTGTGCAGACGTGTAAATACCGACGCTGCGGTCGTGTTACCGGAGGAAATTCAGACTCTACTGTTGAAAGGAGCTATTTGAGCGGTCCCTGTCGAGGACACAAAACAAAGGTTGGTACAACCGCTACTTTGTTGTCCCGAAAAAGGGGGGTGGACTTCACCCTATTTTGAATCTGCATGTGTTAAACAAGTAACTGCGCACGTACAGGTTCAAAATGCCAACACTCAAACAGCTACTGGATACAGTCAGTCTCGGAGATTGGTTTACTATGATCAATCTCACAGATACTTATTTCCAGGCGGGAATCCATCCCGATCACAGGTGGTTCCTGCGCTTTGCTTTTGAAGGGAAGGCCTATGATACGTGGTTCTGTCTTTTGGGTAAGCTCTAGCTCTCTGCACCTTAATTGTGTTGAAGCCGCACTAGCCCCCCTCAGGGAGGAGGGCATCCGGATTTTGCTTACCTAGACGACTGGGCTCTAGTAGCGAGTTCCTGAACACAGGCAGAAACTCACACTGCACGGGTACTTTCCCACGTTCAAGCCCTGGGGTTTTCTGCAAACTACAGAAAGAGTTCTCTAGTTCCGAGTCAGAGTTTCTCCTTCCCCGGGCTGTAAATTTGCTCTCGGTCAAGCAGAGCGCGTCTCTCGGACCAGCGAATAGCCGCGATACTCAGTTGCTTAGCGTGCTTTCAGCTGGGAGCCAGACTGACACTCCGCACAGTAGCTCTTTCTCTACTGAATCTGACCCACACATTGCTGCACTGGTGCAATCTGAATCTCCTGTCTCTCAGAGCAGCTTATGTCCCCGGGTACCTAAACCACAGGGCAGACTTGCTCTCCAGGGGCGGACCTCTGTCAAAAGAATGGAGGCTCCACCCCAAGGTGGTGTCCCAGATTTGGCTGAGGTTCGGCAGGGCAGTAGTGGATCTGTTTGTGTCGCGCACAAACACACACTGTCCCCTGTTCTTTTCCCTGACGGATCAGACTGCTCCAATGGGATCGGATGCTCTGGCGCAACTTGGCCCAATGTTCTCCTCTACGCTTTTCCACCGGTGGAACTGATTCCAGCAGTACTGGAGAGAGTGCTTAGGTGGAGCACGTCTCTGATTTTGGTGGCCCCTCAGTAGCCCCTCAGTGGCCCACAAAGTCTTGATGCCCGGTGATCATCAGTCTGATGATAGCCCCCCCATGGAAGCTCCCCATCAGACAGGACCTTCTGTCACAGACACAAGGGAAAGTGCTGCACCCGCGCCCCCATCTGTGGAAGCTGCAGGCCTGCCTACTGAAAGATCCAACCTGTTAGCTTAAGGTCTTCCCCCGGCTATGGTGAGTACTTTTCAGAGCTCAAGAGCATGCTCCACTAGGGGTTTATATGCCTATAAGTGGAAGATTTTTG